TGGGATACCAACACTCCATGAAACAAGGGAGAGCAAAGCTCTAATAACGTTAAGGGGCCTTTTAAGGACTTCTTGTGCAAATTGGGACTCGCGCATCGGGGATGAGGATTTTCCCTGAGCCTGGAGGGGCTGAGGAACTTTTGACTGTACCAATTTAAAAGGCTGCAAATCTACTTGGGTGACATAACTTGCATAAGGAGTCCTTAAATTACTCCCTTCCAGGGTTACTAGCGGCGAATTAATTTCGGAAGTGAAATTTACCTCCTGCGAAGATCATGTAGAACAGCGAAGCAACCACATTAACGGACAGAGCCAGAACATATATTAGAAATACGTAGTACACAACCGTCACTGTTTTTTGAAATTGCACCGGAATCTCAACTTCAATGTCCTGAAAAACATAAATGCAAAGATGTAAATTACGTTCAGGGATACATTTTTCAAGCAAAAAAATAAAACGCTGGAAGCTGCTAGCTCTCTAAACGGGCTAACCTGGTAGAAACAGGGCTCAATCGGAATAAATGACGGGAGGGGCGGCCAGTTATGAGGACGTTGCGCACCGCCCGCTGCTGAAAAAAAATGAAATATCAGACACAGCACTGAAGTAGTGAACAGGTAGGTGTTATGGTCGAGTTTCAATATTAAGTGATAGGTGAGACCTCAGCGACGTCACCTAACAAGTTAATGACGTTTACAGAAACTGACACCGACTCTGATACAGTACATGTCTGACCTCTAGATCTCGTCGTCATCTCCTAACCCTTAACAGGTAACAAACCCACGCTAAATCTGGGCTTTAGATGTCATAAAAATAACCATTAAAATTTAAAGAAACTCGCCTATATTTCCAGTATTTAAGTTATTCTGTTGCTGCTGACGTCGATTGAGCTCCTCTTCTCGCATTCGTAACTCCTGAGCCTTTCTTTCGAGTTCTTCTTGCTTACGAAACAGCTCATCGCTCATTGTTACGGATGTTCCACCACCTCCAAGTCCGGATACTCCCTTAAAAAACTCCAAAGTATTCTTTCCTAAGTAATCGAGTAAATTCAGTATCAGGCGATGTTAAAATGATAACAACA